TCTCCCTCTCTCCCCCTCTCTCCCTCTCTCTCGCTCTCTCTCGCTCTCTCGCTCGCTCTCTCTCCCTCTCTCTCCCTCTCTCTCTCGCTCTCTCCCTCTTTCTCTCCCTCTCTCTCCCTCTCCCTCTCTCTCTGAATTAACCGCGTTCTGCCCGAAAGACGTGAGGATCCCGGGAGTGGGACACGATATAGCTAGTTATATGATTGTGATAAGAGAATACGCAACGCCGAAATTGAGAAAAATGTTCGAATATTACTCAAGATTATTCTAACATATTTGCATCACACCACAGTTCGTGAGTGATGGCGAGTCTCACTTTAAAATTTAATAACTTCAGTGAGCGATAAAGAATGAAATAACCTTATGCTTTTCGTAACTTCTATTGTTCATATTTTGTTTACATCTACACATTTTTTAATTATATACATATTTTTATTTATACAAATTTGCTGTTTTATAAGAAAATAAAAGGTTGATCTGGGCTGTCCGGGTGACGTCGCGTCGTAGGCTGAGTTGCCGACGTTTCTATCATCCTGTCGTAGTCTTCCTCTGGGCTAGTATGAGCCCTGAGGACCCTAGTACCAGCTCCGAGGAAGACCACGTCAGGATGGTCGAAACGTCGGCAACTCAGCCTTGACGCGGCGTCACCCGGACAGCCCAGTTCACCCACATGACTGGCCGCGGAAGCCTACGACTTCTAGAAAATAAAAGGTAAAATACATCCAGAGTACTAAACTCTCAATGTTCCAGTCAATTTTTTCAGCGGGCCATTGAAAGTCTCAGAGACATGTAACGCCATCTCAACTAGAATCGAATACTACAATCAGATACTAGAGAAAACTAGAGTTGGCTCCCGCCCATCAGACTTCTCCAGTCCTGCCATACGCGACATTATTAACTCGTTACTACAAATGCGTTCTTCAGCTGTGATAAAATAAACATCGTACCAGAAACAAATTTCATCATGAAAAATAATGAATGCTTTTACGTAGAAAAATACAGTATACCGTTGATACATTTTACTTGCCGCACCCGTTCTCTCCACTTCTGCAATCAAAGCAAGAGCTAAAGATTATTCCTTTGCAATTGAAATAACCAGGACTCTGGAAGCGAGCGGCAAATACAACAAAGGCAAAGTTCTAAGCAGGTCTCTAGCTGCAGTACATCTGAAATCTAAAAAGATAATTAAAAAATGTCCTATTAAAATTAAAACTGCTTTATTCGAATACCTTTCAAGTCCCACATGAAATCTGAAAGCGCTCACACGTCGCTGGTTCTCAAACCTCTAGGATCCTCAATCAGCGTTCCCGGCTTGTCGAAAAGAGTTTCATTGGCCGTGCGCATGAAGTTCCAGGAGGCGTGCAACGCAGTCGGGAGTAGAACCTTTGACAGTCGGCCCCGCCCCTCGTACGTCCCGGCCCCTCATACGGCTCCCGGCCCCACCCCCGGGGGCTTTGTCGACGCGGAACAATGCCAGGCCCGCGGCGCGGCCCGCCCGCACAACTTATCTATCGACCCGCTCTAGGAGGCCGTGAATGCGAGCCACCCCCCCCGCGCTGCGCATGCGCGCCGCAGCCGCCAAGTCGGGGAAGTCCCTCGGTGCCGCGGAGGCGGCCGGCGGCAGCAGCTACGAGATACGTCGCTATGAATACGAAACGAGATTTCGCGGTTTCAACTGCGTAGTTAGGCGACGGGTGGGGGGTGATTTAATTTATTATAGCTGGTTTCTAATGGGACAACTCTCATGGGCGTCACGAAATCTGGGTTGTTTGAAAGTTTGTGTTATAGATCACGTATTGTGTGGTGTTCTCCAAGACATTTTCGCCGTTATTTTTCTTGTTATTGAATTATTATTTTTGTCTGGATTGCATTTTGTATTCAATGTTTAATGTTTTCTTCTTCCTTTCTTCTCTAGCTTCTTCCTTCTCATTTTTTCTTGCAAAACAATACACAAGTTATATATCACTCTATTATGAATACGAATTGAAGTTGCACTGAATCAAAGTTGTTAGTAGTTAGGCAACGGATGGGGGCTATGATTTAATTTATTCGGTGTGGATTTCAAATGCGATGATGCGCATGGAATTCATGAAATGTAGGATGCAGGAATTCCCTCCTAGAGTGTCCGAATTATTCTTTTTGCTCCAATATTTCGTGTTTTTAGTTTAATGTAGTGAAACTCTTGACATCCAAACACACAATTATGAAGTTCTCATTTTGCTTTCTAGTTCTCTTTTCTTTCTTACTGGAATATTTGTGTGGTTTTCCGTTTTTTTCTTTGTGTTATTCTCTCATCTGTTTTCTATTTTCTAGACGTCTGAATCATCAAAGTGTATTTTTATAAGTAGTATTATAAGTAGTATTATCAAGTTATGCAAAATTCTGTGATACTGTCTGCGAATATTAATGGAGATTGCGCGGTTCCAATTAGGTGGTTTGGCGACGGTGGAATTTTTTATTTATAAATCTATTTAGCAATGTTCCTTTCTATTAAGCAACTGTATTAACGTCTGTCTCATTGTACTTGATTTTCCTTCAAAATTGTTACTTGTCTGGCGCTTGCGTTGAGAATCCGGGATGAGCTGCTTCTGCTGCGGAGTTTGGCGGCGGATCTCGGATTTGTAGGAGTCACAAAACCAGTACTGAGAAAAAAGGCAGTTGTTGTGCCATTACTGTTCCGTCTTTACTCAGTTTATAATTGCATGCTCTTTATTCATATTGTAATTGTACAAATCGCACATGCTTCTTTCTAATACATTTTCTTATAAAACTTAACTTTTTTGTCAAAAATGTTTCCAACGGTTTATTCTAAAAAATCTTAAGTGTAAAAACAGTGTAATCAAAGGTAATGATTCGGTGGCTGTAAGAAACACTGTCTTTCTCGATTGGCAACATGTTACCTAATCCACACAATCAAACTCATCCAAAAACCAACGCCAGTAACCTTTACATTAGAAAAAACACTTTAAAGTGTTCCATGCCCTTGGGGAGCCATGAATAAATTGTTCGTCCTCTTTGGAAACCTTTCTGCTTGTTAATAGCTTTAGAGGAGCTATTTATGAGTGAAAGAGTCACAGCGAGGTGCGCCTAGCGGGAACAAGGCATCGCACTGGCGGTGCGTCACTCACCTCACTGCAGCGCTCATTAAGAGGTTGCGGTAGCGGGCTGAAGCGAACCTTCCTACAGTGGGTCGAATGTTTCGAAAACATGGTGATGAAATTAACTATATGATGGTTTATTTTTTATCGTGATTATGATTGCACGAACCGATGTTATAAAATCATTGATTGCTCACGTTATAAGACGGAAATGTTTGAAGAGAGACACTTTTCTCTATGAATTAGGGTTTAGTGTCACTATACTGTTCGAATAGAAATTGAAGTTTTATTAAATTATTGCATTATTTTACAATAATTAAACAAAAATCCGTAATAAATATATTGTAACCAATTGGTAAGTCATTTCAGAAATTAAAAATATTTCCTACCATTCTCTTCGTGATATAGACAAATCTGACAGAGCTTTTTCCTCAGACGCACGGATATAAATAGAATCTATTTTTTACAGCTTTCAACTTTTGGCGCACTCTTTATTTCTATAACTTTATTCCACCGGCAAATGTAGCTCTGGGTGACTGATGCCACTTCAGTGCCATGGTTTCAGGGTTCCACTCCCAGCGACAGTAGGATTTTTGAAACTAGCTTGATAGCTATGTTGAATGCAGCCGCTGTCTGGAGGAGAATTGTAACGACCGGTGGTCCTTTCCGGTAGCTTCGCGAGGTTTCTCCGATCAACACTAGGAGATGCCGGAGCAGTACTCAAAGAAATGAGCCAGGAACCACGCACGATCATTCCTTCCTCTTCCTTATCCTTTCCCCCACTTATTTACATATTCTTACACTTATATTCACTAGACTATTACACATGCGTCGAGATCAGTCGGGAGCTATCTGGGGCGGGGCCACGCTGGTGGGAGATACCTTATTTCTGAACCTGAAATGCAGATATAACGCAAGAGAGTATGCGCTGTTGTAGCGACCTCGTGTTTCGCCAGAGTTGGTCCCGCACGCAAGGCGGCTGGCGCACTGTTGTGCGCGGCCGTGAAGCAGCTGGCGATGGCTGGCGCCCGCGCAAGCGGCCGCACATTGAAATATCCATTAATCTCGCGCGGCGGCGGCGGCGGCGGCGGCGGCGACGGCAGCGGCGGCGACGGCAGCGCGCGGGGCTCAAACCGCGTTGCCGGTGAATGGCGCACCTTTGCCGGGCGCTGGATGCCACAAATGAAGCGGCGTTCATGCGAGATGGACTGTCGAGGGCTGTGGTGCGGCTGCGAATGGCCGACCGCGGCCTCCAATGCAGGTCGGTGGCACGTGGCGTGAAATCGGATGTGTGAGAGGGCCGGATTGAGATGACGGAAATAAAATCTAAACGTTACTAGGAAGATTTTAAATATATATAAGAGTTGAACATATTCCTAATATCACATGTCAAGACGCATTCATTGGGACGTCAATTGAACGCTCTTTGCTTTCTCGCTTGCGCTTACGCAGTAGAGAGAAAGTTATGTATTGCTGCGCGGAAGACGCTGAAAACTCTTATTCCAAGGCCCTAGTAACGAGAAAGTGGATAAATCCTGTTGCTTGGAACAATCCCAGCGGCTCCATTCTGCCGATTTTCTCCCAAATTGACATTCTCCGATCGATCTGGTTGACGTCGTAGCCCCGTGAATTTGAAACTGATAATTTTAATTTTGGAGTCCCTGAGACATTTTCAACATTTTTAAAAAATGACTCCATCGTTTTTTATTACGTTTTGTTGTTGGGTAATGTAAAGGACGTTTCAAAAAATGGTTGAGATATTATTTTCGTTTAAAATTCTGATATTTCGAAAATTGCAACAAAAAAATTCACATTTTTTCGATGTCTTGTTACAACTACAATTATGAAGATAGAGTTTTTTCCTGAATGAAATATTTCTGTGAAGATAGATTTTAAAATAAGGAAATGTATAATTTTTCGAAAATTTGAATACATTTGCGTAATTTTGCGTGAAAGTATGGGCGAGAAAGTACGTGCTATTTTAACGCCACGAGTTTAAAATTGGAATAGTTATATGTACTGTCAGTGTGTCACAGAATAACATTTGAAAAACGTCTACTGTTCAGTATGCGAAAACAAAAGTATTTAAAAATGTAAGTCAGAGATATGTAGTCAGGGAAGACGTCCCCACAATTTTCTCTGTGCTACTTTACGTGTCTGCTTAATTTTTAATGTTGGTACATTTGAAATGTCACATGTCAAGCGGCATTAGGCCGAGACGTGTATCACAGAAGGCCGGCGCCGCGAAGCGACGGAAAAAGGAATGTGCCAGGCTCAGGCTGGACGGGGCGGCTCGCAGGCAACGTACGCACAGCTCTCCTTGACATCCCGCAGCGGGGCCTCGGGAAGCGGGTGGCTCTTTACGTCACAGCTGGAAGCGAGCGAGCCAACGTCCACATGGCGGCATATCAATCCGAATCACTCTCCCTGGTTGCGTAGTATTAATCAAATATTTGAATTTTGTGGTTTCGATTCATCATTTATCATTATGGTTGTGAGAAGGAATATCGGGCAAAGGGGATGATTGAGTCTACGTGGCAAAAGTGCCCTAACCAAGTCTGACGTACCAAGGTCGATATGAGCAGACCACATTAACGCACCTTGTGGCGGCCAGGAGTCTCAACAGGAACTCTACGCTGACTTACTGCACATCGCTGAGGGCCACGTGGCAATGAAGAGATAACGTTCTATTTACGATGTGCTGTACATCTCACGGAGTGTGCACTGAATGGAGGTCGGCAAATGATCTGTCCCGGAGAGGGAAGAACTTGAAAATATGAAACTTCATCATGACAATATGAATTGCATGACATTGAATGCCAATATTTGAAGAAGATACTTCATGAGGAAAGGCATATCTAGCTTTAACACAATAATGCTAGGAGACTGCTAAAGTATAATAAATTTTGAAAATCTGTTTGTCGTTTCATTTAAGTCCCCGAATATTAAATATTCATTTCATATTGAAGATCAATCGAGGAAAATCGATTTCGTGCGGACAGAAAAACGTTTTGACAGATAAAATGACGTTTCTCAAAACGGCGTCCAAAAAGCGTGTTTTTACGCTCAGCAGCTCGGAGCTTGACCCAGCTGGGGCGCTGCCCAGCTGCTGGCAGAGACCTGGTTGGGGAAAACCCCGCAAGCCCACGTCTAGGCCTCTCCACCCGCCAGATCTCGCAATACCGCGGAGGAATATCTCCGCCACCCCCTGTGATAAAAATCGTGTACTACCCTTACGGGACTGACGACCTTAGCATTTGACGCACCAGAAATCACTAAACAATCCATCAACTACTCCACGCGAACGCGCTTAGATTTGATCTCTTCTTATTTCGTCTCGTCCCACCCATCACCGCCTTCTTCACCCCGTGTCGAATATAAGCGCTCGCTCACACCGCTCTTGCAGGTGCTGCAATGCATTGCCATGCGTTGGAGGTTTCGTGTTTTCTTTACCTTCGTGTACGTTTTGGTTCCGTGTGAACATTCCTCATTGTGTAAATCATTGCTTTGAAATAAGTTTTTATTGGTTCCCATCTTCAAACTCCCAGACCTTTAACTTATTTATTCGTGCTGCTACACGTGAGTGAACATTCTTATATTGCTGGGCTTTAGTTAGCAGACTGAAAAGAAAAGCCTCTACAATTATATTGTGTACAATATCAAATAGTCAATTAAATATACGTTGTTTTAGATACTGCTAATTTTTCGTTTATGTTTCTTGGAATAGGGCAATCCTACGCCTGTGTTGCGAAATGAAAGCGCACCTTTATTTCCAAACTACCCACAATTTGTTGAAATTCTGAATTTAAAAATGTTAAACAAGCGATGATTTAGCTTTATAACCGTATTTGTATACTGCAACAAGATCAAACACTTTAATTAAATCACAATTACACAAATAGTAATTAAAGTCAGTGAAATTGCCATTTGAATTGTCAGAAAGAAATTGTTTCAATTCTGATAAAATCATTTACTTAAATACAAAATTTTATTGATTTAAATATTAGTATGGACATTTTTTTACGATTCATGCAAATGGTAATTACGAAAATCATTAGTAAATTACTAAGAAAAACTATAATCTAATTGCCTCTATTTTTTAATCAATTACTCTTCTAACAGAACATCGGGCTTTCAGCCTCTTGCATGTAAAGCAATAAATATTTCTGATTTACAATAACTATTTGCTGTCATTGAGACTGAAAAATACTACCTTTTTAGTTTTTCGTGCATTGATTGCGTATATTATTGTATACATGTAAAGCACATTTCTCTCCGGACATAGAAAATTATGAGTAATTTAGCGCCTTACTACGTGCATGAAATGAAATCCAGTGGAGGTTATTTGTGGTTGCCTCTGTTTATCCCCTCTGCTCCTGCTGACGCGCGTTAATCGTGCTGGCCATGCACCATTACTCGCATATACATGTACTTCCCTTGCCCGTCCTTTATGCGTGTAATTCACGTATATTTCTTGCTTTATGCATCGTCGCCATCTATAATTTTCTATACCGCTCTGTGTTATATTTCAGGCATCTAATACCATTATTATAATTGACATTATGTTTTAAATTTAGGAAAACGATATGAAATACTTAATCACGAATCGTTGTCTTCTTTTATGCACTAGAGTATTTGATGAAGATGTGTATTTAATTTTGTGGCTACATAACAAGCTTTATCTTCGAAATTGAGTTTTGACAGTTTGGATACTCTGCGTTAATGCCATATTTGCATTCATGAATTTTCACTGAAGCGCATAAAGTGTCAAAGTGGAAAGATATTTTTGCAAACTTGTCATATTTTCCGTCAATTAAAAGAATTTCTGCAGTACGTCAAAGTAAAGCGCTAGGTATTAAAATTATGCAAATGAAGCGTGTTATTACATCGATCCACAAAGTACGCTTAACAACAATGTGAATTCGGGTGCATTTTACAAGCCGTTATAGCTCATGCGCGTGGTGTTCCTATTATGTTTCTCATTTATCGTTAATATAGTTTTCCCTTAGCTTGATGGACTTGTAAATACTACCAGATAAACCTGCCATGGGTGATAAATGGGTGCAACCACACGTGTTATCGCCTGCATATTGCTCATGAGGTATCACACGGTTGACAGAGTGAGTGCTGCTGCCATGTAGAATGATAAATGATAGTACATGCTTTTCGAATGTACGTAACTTCCTTTAAAAGAACCCTCCAATTGAAAAGAATGAGGTATCTTAGAGCTGATTTGCGTGTCGTTTTGTAACGCAAATCACCTCTTGACACTGTGGTGCAAAAATTACTACTGTTGAGAATCTGTTCAGCAATCTTAGACAAAATAGTTCATATATTTTAGAAAATACATTTATGATTTGTTGCTGTGATGCCACTCGTACACACATTTTTCATTTTTACATGTTGAACAAGCCTCTTGTCTACCTGTTATAAGCTATCCTTGAGGCTAATCGAATCTAAGCTCGTTTATTTACGCGACTGTGAGATCGGTTTTAATTTCTCCAAAATCTCACAAATTAGAACATGAACCATGGGGGCCAATGCAAGCTTAAACACATGCAAGAGCTACTCATTTTTGTTACTTGACACACAGATGGCAGCATAGCTGCACACTCAGATGGCCGCGAACTATTAACGGTCTTATCTCGAACTCCCAGGCCGTTTGAAAAATGGATGAGATGTTTTCGACCGCAATAACGTCTCGGCAAAACATATGTGATGGGGAAAATTCGTGCTTAACCAAATGAGCCACTATTTTATTTGAAGTGCAGAACACAAAGTTTGAATCAATTAGTTATTTTTCACCCCCTACATGTTTTTATTTTAAATCACGATTGTAATCGATTGATTTAAATTGTATTAAATCATCGCCACGTTAATAATTATGATTCACAAAATAGTGAACAAATTGTTAATTTTAATAATTTAACTTTATATGTTATAAATCGATGTGTAAAAGGAAGTATAAATTATTTGCTATTCGTTTTAGTAAGAAACCAGTGTCCGGCAGAAAACCAGCGGCGCCTGAATGCTGCTGAACAAGACGTAACATGCTATATTTTAACAACAACAGACTGCATGAATACTTCCATGTCATAGTATATTCGGATACACAATACGAGAGCTCTCCACGTGCCAAGAATTCGAAGTCTCAGCGACATAATTCAACACGTGGATAGCAAATACTTCCTGGCGAGCGACGTTCTCCTTGCAGCTCTCGCGAGGGGATGCCTTGCTGCTGCACGTGCTGCAATCAGTGAAGAACTATGAGAGTTCATGCGCTACGCACAGCACGTGAAGAGGGGAAGCAACTCAATAAAATATTTGCATACTTCAGTCGAAATCGAAACTGCCTTTGAACAAAAAATATTTTCATAGCGGCTTCTTCCGGCTTCTGCGACCTCCGCAAAAGTTCTAATAGCTCATCTCTAATAGCATTCCCTGCAACAATTGGATGAAATTCTCCAAATGCTTTGAAGTTAACAAGATTAATCTCCTGTGCCATTTATGGGTGAGCATGTAACTCCCAGCAAATACCTAAATTCCTGCAATGGTTAGTACATACCGCATCAATCGTGATAATACAACCTGTCTCTAGCAGAAGCAAGCTTTCAGAGCCATGCAAACAAACGGCCGTACAATTACCAAACTAGTGCACAAGCACTTCCATTATTTGTAACGCCCACGATTTATAATATTACTTCAACCTTCAAAAGTTTTTCAGAAAAGTTTTTTCTCGTGCTGGAATTCACGTTTTTAGATTTAGCACCCCGTTCCCATTACCATCCCCCCTTTTAGAACACCATCAGTCATTCGAGTAAACCAACTTATTTCCGACCTCTCCAACTTATTAAAAACAAAATTGAACAAATACTTTTGTAATTATCGAAAATCATAGATTTTTATTGACATTATTTCAAGATATAGTGTTAAAGAACAAACTGTATTTTAAAAAAGATTATCGTTACTGGTATACCAGTTGCAAGTATACGCAGAAAAAATTTAAAAAATTGCAATTTTCGAAACGACCGAGAACTGGTTCCTACAAGAGAACCACATTCAATAGTAACAGGTGGAGTCGATTATAAATAATTGTAATGAAAAGGTAAAGTTAGATTTTTACAAAGTAATTATAGTTTTTGTTAAAGCAAAGCTCCGAAATTTGGTATTACTCTAAAAAAGGCGCGCTATAAAGCCATTTTCGCATTTTCTATTAAAACTCCTTTTTTCAAACGTCTGAACGGTTAAGTATTACATTTCGAAGATTACATATAACATCGCCAACTCTTCTTTCAAATGGAAGATTTTCTTATTTGGCTCAAAAATAATTTTCGTTAACCAAGAATTCTGAAACGAAAGTTCATTGGCATTAGAAAAAAATGTTTAGTATTACGCTCCAAAAACAGTTTGTTTTGTAAAGAAATTGGTTGAATTTCATTTCCATACGTAGGATTGGTAATAATGTGATCACATGTCTATGTCCAAGACTAATTTCTACCTTTATTCAAAATGCAGTTGTTGTAAAAGAGAGAATAGGGATTTTGGAATAAATAAAAAATATCTGAACTCCATATGTGAATGCACATTATTGAATGTAATATTATACTTTGATGAATCAGTTAAACTAATTGAAATAAAATAAATAAAGAGGCATATGAGGACGATAATCCAGGGCGCCATTAATAAACTCCGCAGCAAAAGAACATAATGAGTGATTTTGTCACTGTTTCACTCAGACATGGCAAATGTGTACGAAAATAGCATTAATTTTTGTACTCGACTTTGCGTATATATCTTCGGCCTTTGCACAGTAGCGATCTGTGAGATGTGACTTTGAGTTGATGAAATGATTTCCCAATCTTTTGTTTTCGCTTTTCCTCTCATTCATAAAAGGTGGTAAAGGGTGGCTCTTGCAATTCTGGAATTATTTATGTGCGCTTGAATAAGAATTTCAGATGGTGCAGTCATTATGACGTAAATACGTGGAGCATGTACTTGTAAAGCTGTCACTCATTTCAAATTTTATCTTCAACTTCTGTCTTTGTGTTTACAATGCTATCAAGAATGTATGTAAATCCAGTGGAACCGTTAAACTCCATAAATTAAGTTCTTATATGTTGTTTTAAATGATCTTTGTTTCACGAACTGCTTTCTGCCCCTTTGTATTGTTCCCGACGTGTTGCGTGTTGCAGCCCGTCGCTGACGTGGCGCGACATCCAGCACCTGACGGTGCTCACGTCGAAGCGCAACTCGCTGTTCGACGCCAAGGGCCGCTTCCACTGGACCATGAACGGCGTGGGGCTGGAGTTCAACCACCTGTTCGGCTTCGGCGTGCTGGACGCCGGCGCAATGGTGGCGCTGGCCACGCAGTGGAAGACGGTGCCGGCGCGCTTCCATTGCGAGGGCGGCTCCGTCAACGACGTGCGGTCAGTCCCCGGGCTCACTTCTGGGCTTTGCTACTTGTTTGCATGTGTACTTAGGCGTTGTGTGTCCCGCGAAGGGCAACTGGTACTGGGATCGAACCCTGTCCTCCGAACGCAAACCTTTCGCTTACACCATGGTTACTCGAAAAGTGAGTTTTGTATAAGAACACCAGTTCTAATTTTTGCATTCAGTAATTATATTTGATGTGACCGAGAAAGTACAATAAACTCAAAATCCACGAAAAACAATTTTGTTGTAACCACATTCTGAAATTGTACCAGGCCAATCTGGTTTCATGTAGCTTACAAATAAAAAGAATAAGAAAAAAACCAACACTTTTTGCACTATTCTTGAAGAACACATTAACACTGTTTCATTGAAACACAGACACTGGTGCGAAGACAGGCGAGCGGCGCCTTCCAGCTGCTCATGCGTAGAACGCTTGGTCAAACCCTTCTCCGTAGGCCGCGTGTTCGACATTCGTGCTCGGAGAAACGCGTATATGCTTGTCCGAAGGTCGCAAGTTCAAATTCTGCCCCGAGGACTATGTACAGACCGGCTTGCACTGCAGGATAATTAGTGGACTGTATTGAAATTGGTCTGGTTTGTACAATTTGGCTTGTAATTCTTTGACGGCTCAAGTCTGCGCGGTAGCACCGGCGATTCCAAGTTCCAGCACTACTTCCGGCTACAAACGAAGTACACTTGTTTAACACAGTACGTTTATTCTTAACCACACAAGTTACTGGTTGCAATACACAAGTACACACTTAATTTTGTTACACTTGATGTAGTATCTCCATACTGTGATGTTAGTTACGGAACATTGAAGAATTTACGTAAGAGCTATGTTACAAACAATTGAAGTTGAACTCGTTATTATGCGTACGCGTAAATAGTGTTTCACCGTCACAACAATTATACCCTAAGAGGTATTCAAAGATTCCAGAAATACTAACGAAATACGAAGCAACATTTGCAATATTGCTTGACAACTTTATTAAGATTGCAGTTTCCGGGATTTCCCTGTTCCGCGACTTCATAATACTGTAGTAGGGAGTAAATTCCAATCACAGACCTTAAGGCATTCGCTTACTGACAGAAAAGAACTATAAACACTGAACTTCCGGGCGTATTAACGCCTGAGGAGAGAATGTCGCTCTGGTAAGGTGATATCTCAGCGCACCACGACAGGGATTTCATCTGTAAAAGTAAATGCGGGTGAGTTGCTCATCACAGCAGTCTAGCGGCAATAATTTTGAGAATCCATTTACATTAATGCTCACTGCACGTCAACTCCCACCATTTCCATATGAGGTAGCAAATGTTCGTATTCGTCACAATTTCTGGAACACAATTTTTCGGATGTTTTAATTACATTACTGATTATTTTACACATCTTTCACGATTTTGTTATTCTTTGTTCACAAACGAAATTAAACTTCATCTGTTGAGACGCAAAGATTGGTGACAGATTTTCGAATTCTGTCAATTTATGTTACCCTGGTTCTGTCGCTGACATGCGCTTTAAAATATATACGCCATAGAAATGGAACTTGAGTGATTTTTAAAGAAAATTGTCGATGTGTTATGACACTATTATATTTAAAGACTATTTTTTCTACTCTGTACATGCACTTAATGCAATGGCCTGTCAATAAACACGGTTGTGTGTAAACTTTTGAGAAGCAATCTGGAAAATCTACTCGTATAATTTACTTGCGGCATTGACTCTCCATATCGCAGTTAGAGGTTTATATTCTTATTACGCCTCAATATCCCTGTGGCGCAGAGGGTATTGTGCTGTATCTGCTAATAGATATGATAATATTAATTAAATTTGCAGCTATTTTCACACAGGCTTGTGGAGATCAGGATATGCATTGAGCATGCTTGCATATGAATGAATATTTCAAAAGTGATTAACTAATGTAACAGAATAGTAGTTTGGAAATTGTTGTGAAATTATACCCCTGTATCAAACGATCTCTTGCTAACAGGTAGCGTACGTTTATGTTACTCCCTTTACAGTATTTTAGTAAAATTCCGAGAGTGCGAATGTTCGTCTGTTCGGATGTGCGGTTCTGCCACTCACGGCGAGACCACTTCCCGAGCTTTAATCGAGACGTATGAGGTGACCTTACACGCATCTCGGTCTCATGATGGGAACGAATAATTTGTTCTAAAAGTTTTCAAAAACGGATTTTTCGCGTTTTGGCGCTGTAATCTTAGTGATAATGCCAGGAATTAAACCAATGCCTCTTATATAGATCTATGTAAATAGCGATGATTAAACTCCGGTACCCAAAGGCATTTTTCGCCCAATAGGGCATAAGTTTCTTTCACGGCGTTGGCTACACTGATGTTGACATTTTTAAGAGAACAATTGAATTACCAAGTAAATCGCGCTGCAGATTTCAATTTTCATTCAAATTATCGTATTTTTCAAAACAAATTTGCAAAAAGCTACGAACAGTATTGACTCTGAACTAATGAAACGTGAAAAATTTCAAGTAATATGCAGAAAACAAAATTGTGAGTAATGCTTGAGAATGAATGAACGTTCTTATGTCGAACTTATCACTTTTACGTGTGCAAATAACTATTTTCAAACGAATGTTACTCACAACTTATTCTTATTAAAATAAACTAGAACGTTATTCACATAACCATAGAAAACAATAGCCTTTTAATGTTATATTCGCATGCAACTCGAGATTCGCATACAAAACTGTTAATAGACTAATTGCAAAAGTAGAAATGAACACAAATTAGTCTGAGTTTGTAAAGTTTTAATCTGTCCAAAAATTATTTGAGGAAAACTATAGAAGTGTTAAGGAAATCTGGGGAAGAATTAAATTGTACTTATAAAATATTTTGAGACAGAAGTTTGAAAACTAGTTTTGAATGATTTGTATTTTTGTATTTAGCATTCATGCAAATGCAAATTTGCTATGTGCATTTTTGTGCATATTAGCAAAACTTTAGCTGTACTAAAATTTAATTATTAACATCATCAAAACATGCAAGTATCTGTTAGGGTGATTATAATTATCTCGTATGGAGGTTACATACAAAGCCATTGGGTGCTGAGAAACTTTTCAACGTGAGTATAACCTTATCAGCTATTACGATTCATTAGTAAGTCTAATGACAGATACTGAGAGAACATATTTTAACAAAGCTGGGCATGAAAGAATTGAAGTATGAAATAAATTTTTCAACACATGAAACTATTTTTAAAATAGTTTACAGCGACGGCGACGCCGCATTTTACTAGTTGCTAACAACCTCTTATTAATATACTCCTTGTTGGTAAAAATAATTAAGAAAACTATTCGTTTTATAATGAGATGTGAAGTGAATATCTCATTACTTGGAAAGGTACAGTAAACAAGCCTCTTCTTCAGAAATTGTTCTAAACCCGACTTGTACAAAACGTGAGTATAATTTCCTAACTTTTGACATTTTGCGTCGTTTCTTTTCTCTACACTGTGTTCTAGAATGACGCGTACCGACAATCTCAGCTTGAATTGCGTTCCTTTGCTCCCGTTCATTTCCACGAAAAACGTTTTCGTCGACGACGTGCAAAAACACATTGATATACGAAAACCATTCTTTGAGATAAAAGGCCATTCGAAGCCCTCTTCAACGGAAACACGTCACCGCCGACTGCGCACCACTTTCCGATTACGCTTTTAACCTCGTTTGCTTTCGCTCGCCGCGTCTCTGCGCGCCGCCGCTCGCCGGGGACGTTTTATTTCCTGTGCGTAATGGAAGATTCGGCGTTGAAGGCGGCGTAACTGCGTCTACGCGAGCAGCGGGAGGCCGCCGTCTATTGCTCACTCGCTGCGTGGTTTCCCAAATACACACAATAGAAGCCTCTTGAACCTTGACGTTCGCCTTTTGCCGAGGAATGACGCTAATTGGCTTTTTGCGGCTTTTGCACAAGTTCTGCATTCCGGAAGCCACCCCTTCCGTCATGTCTCCATTTCTCCATCTCTACATCCATCGCCTTCTGCGTCTCTATCTCCACCGTCTTCCCTCAGTTCATTTCCATACTATTCATCGCACGTCACTCTAGCCGTATTTCTCTCGTTTATTGCGATATTTTATTCATTTCCTAGACGTAATTGAATGGTAACTCTTTGTGGCAATAGATTACTCATATTTGTGACTTGTAGTTTCTCGTGTTTGTAGCATATACTTCTCTTGACCGTTTTTGCATTAGAAAGTAACTTCGTGTTATTCTGCACCAAGCGCATTAGGTAGAAAGTCGAAAATATTAAATGCTCCCGCAATGAACCTTGTGGTATGCCCTTTGCGCAGGAGTCTCACTGCTGATTTGAAGGTCTTTCCAGTCCCTAGAGCTCATTGCGCAAGGCACAGCCACTTTTGGAGCGTTCTCCACCACTTCATTTTTCCATAGAATTTATTATATAATTTCTTATACTATCCATCATTCTCTGCTTTCAACTCTTCTAAAATCATTCCTTAAAAACTAAATTCAACTTTCATATCTTCTTGGTTTATATGATTTGGTAAATTCCAATTGAAAATTGTTTTAGGGCCCTCAAAAATATAACATTTCGAGTTATAACGTTTACTACACTTTCAAAATTAATCACCATAGCAGCTGACAAGCCTGGAAAAACAAAATAATCAGTAAATGAATCCAAAAGGAATTAGCTTCGTTTACAACATTTGATTTGCTATTACATTTCGCCACATGTGGTTTTGCAATACTACTCACGTCGCCTTCTCGATTCCTATCGCTGTTCTGGTGGGTCCTCTTCTTGTGAGAGATGAACATAAATTGTGACGCATGATGATACCTTTTACTGTTGGACTATAGATTATGAATCAGATCATTAGCGAGAGGCTTTCGCACCTTCAAGTACTAGCACAAAGGCCTGCTGTAGCCGTTGCGAGTCCCGGTCTGCTCTGTCGTCTTCCCTTTGTCCGCGACTCCCGGCCGCCGTTGCCTCAGCTGCGACCTTTTCTCGACATTTCCTTCTTCTGAAAGCCTTCTAACAGACTTGTGCTCTCACCACATCTTTAGTGGCATATTTACGACCAATTGCAGATATTTGTAACTTATCTTTACTGGTCAATAATCAGAAAGTAATGAAAGTTGAGGTAGATGATACGAAGTTTGCTTTGGCCTTCCAAATGCGTTGTGCGCCGGACAATCTGCGCGTTTAAATCTGCTTACGATTATCCGAATAATATTGGATTACTTAGAAGGAGAATCAATTGGCACTGCTTTTGGTCGGACATTTTAGATCATTTTTGAAGAATTTTGAAAATAATATTTTGGGGCAGTTGAAAGCACATACAGTGATCAAACTCTGTGAATTTCTATACCGTCTCACCAGAGTAACAGGATTCGTTACTTGATTCGCCACATTGACTATAGTAATATGCGAATTAATAATCACAAATTCTGAAAATTACAAAAAGAAAGTTATTGCTACTTTTTCGTGCAATTGTATACGAACAAACGTGGCATCTATATTGTGTTCATGTCTGTAATTTTTGGAATTGCTTATCATAAATAAAAATTGTTAAAAGAGCTGCTGACGTCGCTACATGAAGCTACTTTTAAAGTAATTCGTTTGAATCTTCTATGCTTGGCCACCTGTGTGTCAATCTAGACCGCAGTGCGTTGTCCCAGACCCCGCCCCCGCCCCCGCCCCCGCAACCGCAGCTCGGCCGGCCCAGACGGCCCGTCCCCGGCCACTTTCCGCGGCCTAATTCGGCCCTGTTTTGCGGGCAGACGGTGGCTGGCTCATGTCTTATGCATGGCCGCCGCGTGGCACCGGGCTGCACCTGTAGGGCAGGCAGGCGACGGCAATGGCCCGCGCCACATCAGAAGCGCTCTGCGCCGCCAGCACAGCGGCGGGAGGGGAAACGGCTATGGAGATGGCGGGGTGGAGGCGCTGGCGATGCGAGGCGTTGGCTGTTTGCTTTTTTCTGGTTCCCCAATGGGGCTTTGCCAGCACATAATGTAGTTCGCTAGGTCACCACCACGTCGCCTCCACAACGGGGCTTCCAACGTGCGCTTCCACCGCTGGGGCGCAGCTTCCAACCGCCCTACCCGCGGGAAGTGGAAGCAAGACAGCAAGCGCTCGGTTCTCGTCATTGAGCTCATCATCTGTTTCGCTAGTGTCTCTTCAGTATCTTCACTCATCGTTGTGAGTGGTTTCAGTTGTTACAGCGCTTCTGAAAACAAAACAAAAGAAATTAGGAAAAAAAAGAAACAAATAAGAAAATAAATAAGAAACCATCGACATCTACGCGCCGTTATGACAGCCATTGCAGAGGAAAATACCATCTAGCAACGCCTTTGCGACACCACGACAACATACCGCGATGGCACAATACCTCAGAACCACACCACAATCGCACTACCTCAACGCCTTACGAGAGCATTATACTACAGGAACCTGAGAACACCTTGTTGCAGTACACCAAGTACTGTTCACAAAATACTTATTTTGCACTCCCCACAATTTATAAAATTTTCAAAGCTTTTTGTGAAAACTGAACAAATATATTTGCAGTGTCTGAAATTGGCGGGTCACAATAGTTGCTAAAATAACACGACAAGTGACGAACGTAATTCAGCCGTCTTTGAATGCTTGAAATGGTTGTAGTAGAGAAGGGGGTTGTGGTTTCAGAGAGGAAGGTGGTGGTGTGGTGGTGTAAGGGCGATAGTGCTGGGTGCTCACTTCGTTGATTAGAGATTCCGGGCGCAAAGGCCATTAGTCCCGTACGCGTAGCGCATGCTTCTGCTCGAGAGGTGGCAGCGATCTTCCCCGCTGGATGGGAGATCGGGCGCAGACCTACCGTCGGCTAACGGGGTTTTCCCCAACGAGATATCTCCCACCAGTGGGGCACCGCC